AGAACCTCACTTCTTCAGATGCAAGAAGTGCATCTTCCGATGCATCTGAAGAAGTGAGGTTCTTACCCACGAAAGCTTATGCTCCCAGTACTTCTGTTAGTCTCAAAGGTGCCACAGGACCCTCTGTTGCTTTTTACAGATTCAGACTAACACGGCTACCCCTCTGATACTTGAGTCTGTGTTGATTTGCAGTAGTTGAGGATGTGATCCTATGATCAGCAGCTTTGCAATGCAAAGGGGAAGGCACAATCGATGGCTCTGTACACCGTGCCGATGATCTGTAGACATTATCTGCTGTAAAACTGCCTTGGAAGAATTAGCTACAGGCTTCCTGACTATTTCAATTGCTCTGATAACGTCAGCAGAGAGAGAGAACTCTGGCTGTTGTCGCTGTCAAACGAACACAGCTGATGCCTGTTCTTGTCTTGAACAATATTTTCAGTGCCCATCCTCGGCTCTAACCCAAGCAGGATGTGGAAGGTGCTGGCCAGGAAGCAGCCATGGGAACGGGGGACGCTGGAGGAGAGCAGGGATCATGCCACCCTTGGATATGCCCGTCAGGCCTCGCAGGAGGCAGTCGGTGGCTGCAGACTGAATATCGTGGAATCAGATGGAGCAGGAGTCTGTGGGGAGATAAATGGAGGAAGGGGTGGGTCATATCTCAGTGCAACCGAGAGTAGGTGCAGGTCCCCACTAGCACTGAAGGCCCTAGCCGTCCCATCTGGACCAGATGAAGGTCCCCGATGCCGTGAGATGCCTGAAGCCTCTGGCTAGCCCATCTGGCCTCTGGCTATCACACCAGTTCAGAGGCCACCAGCAGTCCCATCTAAATCAGGTGAAGCCCCTCCCCAAGCTAGGTGATCCGCCTCCCCATCCCCCGAGTGAAGTGTGCATCTCCCATCACAGCAAAGCCAAACAGACTATTTGCTTTCATTGCCCATTGGCATGTCTATTTTGCAGGTCCCATTGATGAACAGGAGCTGAGGGGCTGATCTCCAAAGCTAGAGGCCGCCCCCCTTTCATCCCATCCCGACGCGTGGGGCTGCAGAGCCAGCGAACCCCCAATGCCTAAGAACAGCAAAGTGACGCAGCGAGAGCACAGCAGCGAGCATGTCACCGAATCGGTGGCCGACCTGCTGGCCCACGAGGAGCCCGTGGACTACAAGCGCAGCGTCTTGAACGTGACGGGCGAGGCCTGGGACAAGCAGAAGGATGTGGAGGAAGATCTAGACTCTGAGAAGCGGCCAGCGTGGAACAGCAAACTGCAGTACATCCTGGCCCAGATCGGGTACTCGGTGGGGCTGGGGAACGTCTGGCGGTTTCCATACTTGTGTCAAAAAAACGGCGGAGGTAAGAGACCACGGGCGTGGGTGCAGCCAGCTCAGTACAACACGACGCCACTGGGATAGAGAGGGGGGCAATTCCTGCACGCATCCAGCTCCTGCTGAAATCTGTAGCAGGTGGGAATGCATAGCCAAGGGCAGGATTAACCCACATGCACTATCTGGATGCTTGGAATGCATATGGGGTATGTCTACACTGTGAGAAAAGACCCCTGGCACGGCTGTGGTTGGCCCGGGTCAGCCAACTCAGAGGGGCTCAGGCTTGTAGGGGTGTAAAATTGGAGTGTAGACGTTCAGGCTCGGGCTGGAGCCTGTGCTCTCCGATCCCGTGATAGGGGAAGGTCTCAGAGTCTGAACCCTTCACTGCAATTTTACAGCCCGGGCCCTGCGAGCCTGAATCAGCTGACCTGGGCTCTCAGACTCGGTGCTGCGGGGTTTTTTATTGCAGTGCAGACTTAGCTCAGTTGATCTCCTCCCCTAGCCTACTAGGGGAGTTGAAGGCTGTACCACTATTTGTCTATTTTTGGGGGGAGAGGGGGGAGACACTTCAGATTCAGTAAGTCAGAAACTTTTAGTGAATTTGTGTCCGTTTTACTGACTTGTTCATTTGAAAAAAAAATCCAGAAACCGAAAAATGTTTTGATTTTTTTGTTTTTTTTCAGGTTGGAACAATTTTTTTCTTTCAAAATTTTCTTTAATTTTATTATAAAAAGCATTAAAGTGAAACTAAACCTTTTGTTTGACCTGCAATGACATTTTTTGACTGTTCTATTTGCTAAAAAGTTAGAAAATATTTGTTTTCAGGTTGACATGAAACTTTTTTTCTCCAAAATTGCCAGAGAACCAAAAAATCAATTATACGCTCATCTCTACACTCCATATTACAGGAAAGCAAATTGCATTAGATTTTTGAACCAGGTCAACCTATGGGGTCAGCTCCTCAAATGGTGTAAACCAGCCTAGATAGATCCATTGAAATCAACACCAAGTAAATATCTATCTATCCCCATTAGAGAGTATCAGCATTTATTCACAGTTATGAGCACATTATTGTGCCATATTTCTTTGCAGGAGTAGAACAAGGCCTCACTGCAGTGACGTCCGACATCACAATGTAGGTGGACACTGGCATTTTAATGGTGACTTCTGTACAAGGAAACAGACACCTGAATTTTGTTTTTATGCAATTGGGAGAATTGATTTTCTTCTCAGGCTGGTTTGACACCAACACCATTGCATTTACTTTAGTGGAGTTACTCCTGATTTACACCAGCACACAAAAAAATCAGAGGAGCCTGTGACAATGCTTGATTAGCTAATGTTTCTAAAGTGCTTTGAGATCCTCAGTTGATAATTGCTACAATTTTACATATTGACAGGCAAAATATATCCATGATTTAGATAGGCCTCTCCTCACCCTCTCCAGCCCAACCCAACCCCCTCCACCCAGCCCCTGTCCTAATCATGCAGACCAGATTCTGCTCTCAGATAACCCCACATGATCCCCACTAATGTCAAAGGGCGGGATCAAGCCCGCTGGGTTAGCCCTTCGTTTGCTGCAGCGCCGAGCACCCACAGCACCTAACAAAGTCAGTACAGTAGAACCTCAGAGTTATGAACACCTTGGGACTGGAGCTTGTTCCTAACTCTGAACAAAACCTTCTGGTTGTTCATTCAAAAGTTTACAGCTGAACGTTGACTTAATACAACTTTGGAACTTTACTGTGCAGAGGAAAAATGCTGCTTTCCCTTGATTTTTTTAGTAGTTTATGTTTAACACAGAACTGGTATTGCATTGGCTTTTAATCTGGTCTCTGCTGCTGCCTGATTTTGTATTTCCGGTTCCAAATGAGGTGTGTGGTTGACGGGTCCTTTTGTAACTCTGGTGTTCGCAACTCTGAGGCTCTACTGTAAAAGGTTGCACAGCACCTTGGAAGATCAGGCATTCGGTGTCTCTGTGCTGCAGTGATAACCTTTCAGAGTGTGGAAGGAAGCTGCAGCAGAATGGCGTTAACCCATCTCCAGAGCTCACATTCAGATGCTCCGTCAGAGCTAAATTCCCTGGTGTGGAATTCAGGCCGCAGGACCCAAACTCTGATTTCCATCACAGTTGCTCCCCTCCCCCCCCCGCAAGTCACCAAGCTGGGGAGCCTATTCTGACGCTTCCCCTCCTCCCTGTTGTCCTTATTCCCAGCACTGCATAATTCAGCATCTCCTCAGCGGCGAAGGCTGCAGTAATCTCAATAATTAAAATGTCTCTAGTGTCATGTCGGTGATGAGTCATCCTTCTAGCTGAACCTGTACAGTGAGCACTTCACACTCCGGGTCTGCTCACGCACCCCTCACCTTTCGATCCCAAATTGGATGGAGCGCACCTCAGGCCAGCTCCAGTGTGCCAGCACTTCCCCATCACCTGATTCCCCTTGTGATCTCACATACATAGCGAACAGTGACCTAGTTTGGGTCAAAAAGAGAATACTCTGATAGACCTGCATGGCTTGCACTGCATTGCATATGCACTGATCTGTGTGCATAGGCTGCATTGCCTCCGCATTGATATGCATGCAAGGGTTGCATTGTGTACCCACTGATATGCATGCATTGCATCTGCAGTGATGTGCATTGGTTGCATTGAGTGGGTTTGTACTGGTAACAAGGAGGAGGTTGAATGCAATTATTGGGCCAGATTCTCCATTCTCATTGATTCCAATGGGGCTATGCTGATCTATACCTGCTGAGGATCTGGCCCTGTGACTTCCATGGAGGACCTCTCGATTTACACCACTGTAAGGGAGATGAGAACCAGGCTCAGAGTGTGAGCCGTGACTGGTGGGCGGGCAAGATTCCTGATTGTATTCCAAAAACTGCCATTTCCTGGCTACATCATCTAAAGCAAGTCACGTAACCACTTTGTGCCTCAGTTTCCCCATTGGCACAATGGATATAATAACATTGACCCATCTCAAAGCAGTTGGGGGCGCGTCCCTAATGAATTAATGTTTCCCTAAATTTACACCAGCTGAATATCTGGCCCACGGCCCATTCACATTCCCCATCCTCACCTTGTCTCATCCTGTCCCCACCTACATCTTTGCCGTCACTTCTCCTTACTCCCATATCCACTGTCTGTGGTCCTGTCATTCATCTCAATTTTCAAATCCCTGCTCTGCCGTGGACTTCCTGCGTGGCCTTGGGTCAGTCACTTAGTGTCTCCCTGTGCCTCCGCTCCCCATCTGCACAACGGGGTAGTAGCCTCACAAGAGTGTCGTGAGGCTCAATCCGTGAACGATGATGGGGGCCAGGCAAATGCCTAAGATAGGTCAGTTTGGCTAAGCCCCAGTCCTGTGTGTGCTGAGCTGTACGCAGCGCAAGCAGTTCTGTTTCAGTGCAGAAAGTTAAGCACGTGTCTTTGCAGGAATGGGGCCTTTGATTATAAGCTCTTCAGAGGGGGGAACCTGCCCTGTTCAGCCTCCGTAATGCACCATCTTCATTTTCAGGGTTCTAGATAAGTGGTTCTGATGGTGATTCTGAATAAGAATAGTCAGTTAATACCATGGTGACTCTCTGAGCCCTGAGGTAGACGGCTGTTCTGGGGCTCCAGGAGCTGTGTTTTTGCCCAAGTGAAACTTGGAACCAGCTGCCTCCCAGCAACAGTTCCATAGCCACAACAACCCATTTTGGCAGGGCCAAAGACTTTTTGTGCAGTCGGCCTGTATGCTGGGTTGTTCCCTGTATAGCGGTGCGGTCGAGGGATACTGCACCTGTCTTCTGCCTAGGCTGGAAACTACTCTTGATGCAGGCGGTGAGTGCCAGCCCTTGATCACAGGTCCTGCGATTTGGTGTGAACCTGGCTTGCTCTACACTCAGGGGACCACCAGTTCTCGGCAGGCCTAGCCTTTCCAGTCATTTGTACGCACAGCTTAGCCAAGTGAGGGGGCAGTACCTTGTTACAAGTGGGTAGTCTCGCTCTGCTTTTGGCAAGGCTATTACTTTTACTCTACACCAGCTCTTGGGTATTTTATTCCCAAGATGGGAATAAAATACCCAAGAGCTGGTGTAGAGTAAAAAGCTAGACCTGAGCTAGAAAGATGGCTAGCCATGGCCTGCTAGCTTGTCCTAGATTCTTCAGGAATTTGGGGGAGAGATGAGCAAACACATAGGCTTTCCCCGTTTTCAGTGTTTTGATCGCCTCTCTATTTCATCTGGGGTGAAAGGTTGGAAATCTGCTTTGGTTTCAGGTATGCACTGTTTGTATTGTCACCATTTCTTCTTCACCTCTCCTTCAAGCTTCTTGTCCTTTATGGGTGGGTAGCAATGCGATTGGAAGACACTGGGGGATAGCCCCATGCTGGAAGTTCCTGAACTGCACCAAGTTTTCTGATTAGTGCCCAGGCTTTGCGGCTGGATCTTAGCGCGTTTAGTTCTGTGGTAGCCTGATCCCATCTTGCTCTTCTAGAAATGTCTAAAAGGCTGGGTGGTGCTTTGGGTGGCCACTTTCTGCATGTTGCTTGAGGAGTTCTGCACACTCCTCATCTAGGCAGGGGGTGTAGATCTGGTGGCCTCTTGGAACTGACTTGGTGACAGCTCTGTAAATGGCTTTTGTGAACTGTGTGTCAGCTTCTTCGCTAGAGACGTTCCAAGCTATGTGGCGGGCCGTGAAACATGTAAAGGTGGGCCAGTTCCAGCGAGGCTCTGGTTATTCCAGCTGTGGCAAAGGTCAGACCGTGTCGACTAGGTGAGAAGTTGTTCAGTACACTGGCTTATGACTTGATGTGGATGATTGATTGTGCTGGTGCTTCAGGGGTGGGGAGGGGAGTAGTTTTGCTTCCATCTGGCAGAATGAACAGTACCTCATTAGTCTGGCCAGGATAAGGTGAAGGTCATGGAGTGAAGCCTGATCCAAAAGGTCAACTCCATTTTGATCTGACCCCCTGTATCCCCAGCTGGTGTGGTGACTATTCAAATCTCCAACATAAATGACAGGGCGTGGGAATTTATGAAGAATAT